AGGCTAACAGAAAAAAAGGTCCCCTCAGCTGAATATGGAGCCTATCGATTCGATGATTCAGAACTGACTTTTTGTGCCTGATTTTTATCTAGCAAGATAAACAAGAGATAGTGTTAGCGGCGCCGGTGGTGTAGTGGTAAGCGTGATTGCCTCTCACCCCAAAAGGCCTGGGTTCAATCCCAGTCGGCGCCGCCGGGATATGTTCTGAGGCATAACATCTCTGATCACGCCTTCCTTCGGAAGGGAAGTAAAGCCGTTGGTCCCCGGTTCATGAGTTGATGGGTTGATAGGTGGTAGAGTCCAGGTGTGGGAGCTGCCTTCCTGGCGTCGGTAGCACGGAAAACAAGATCGACGGAAAAAAATCAAGAAAAAAAAAGAGATAGTGTTGAATGGAATTTGGAATGTACCGAGTGCAGACCCGAACCTTCTAATCAGTGTTTTATAAAAAAATATTAATTCATTTCTGAGAACATGTTATCAGTAGGCTTAAATTCCTCGTGGTATAATCATTAATGCCTTAGGTGTAACAAGGGTGTTGGGCTAAGGGGATGCTCACAGTGGTCGGAGATGGCAAAATCACAAAATTAATTGATATCTTCTTCTTCTTATTCGCATTTTAAGCTTATTGCTTAGCGCATATTAGCTTATTGCGTGCTCTCAACTTAGTGTTCTAAATGCACTTCCCCAGTTATTAATTGAGAGCTTTCGATGCCAATACCAATGCATGAATTTGTATATTGTGTGTCAAGCACAATGATACTCTATGCCCAGGGAAGTCGAGAAAATTTCCAACCCGAAAGATTCCCTCGACCGGACCGGGAATCGAACCCGCCGCCTCCGGTTTGGTAATACCGTGCTTATACTGACTAGGCTATGAGGCCCCACATATCATATCGTCCGGCCATTTTCCAAAGATAAAAATCCCCATATAGAAATTGAGAAAAGTGGGAATAATTCACTTTCGGTGCATATTCAAGTAAAAAAAAAAAAGTGAACGACAACCTAAATAAATTAGTCAGGGACTTTGTCGTTCAGTTTTTTTCTCGGAAATTATTGTTAAACAAGCTAAAATAAAATAAAATAAAAGATTTTTCTCCATACAGTCTTACCTGTTTTACTACCAGCCCCAGAGAGGCAAAAAAAAAATCAAATTTGAGGTAGAAAATTTGCTTTGATCTCCTGAACAACTTTATCGAAGACAGTAACTTTCCATCTGGTCATAATCTCGAAACAAACCACATGCGAGAATTTCACGTGTATTCTAGCGCTACGTAGTGAGAAAATTTTGAACTACTGTCCACTAGCAACATCTATCAGATCATAAACTCGAGATATTTTACATGCGAGAATTACGCGTGTACACTAACGCCACGTAGAGTAAAAATTCTGAACTATTGTGCACTAAGCAATAGGCATTGACTCATGAACAACTTTTTCCAAGGCAGTAATTTTCTACCTATTCAGAATCTCGAGAATTGTACACGTTTACTAGCGCCGCGTAGTGAGAAAATTCTGAACTTCTGTCCACCAGCCAAAAATACTTGACCCCCTGAACAAGTTTGCCGAAGACAGTAACTTTCTGTCTGCTCAGGATCTCGAGCTATTGTATATACGAAAATTTCACGTATATACTAGCGCCACGTAGTGAGAATTGTCTGAACTACTCCTTCAACGAAAAGATTTTGACTTCCTCAAAAACATTGTCGAAGACAGTAACTTTTAATCTGATCAGAATCTCGATATATTTTATATGAGAATTTCACGTGTATACTAGCGCTGCGTATTGAAAAAAAATTGAACTATTGTGTACCAAGAAATAGGCTTTGATCTCATCAACAACTTTATCGACGACAGTAACTTTCTTTCTGGTCATGATCTCGAGATATATCACATGCGATAATTTCACATGTATTCTAGCGGTACGTAGTGAGAAAATTCTGAACTACTCTCCACCAGCAAAAAGGTTTTGATCTCTAAAACAACTTTGTCGAAGACAGTAACTTTCTATCTGGTCAGGATCTCGAGATTTTCCATGTTGTAACCAATTAAGATAAAATCCCACGTAGTACGGACACCGTTTACGCGGTTTCCATTCACATTTTCTCTATTGCGCTACGTAGTGAGAAAATTTTGAAAAACTGTCCACGAGCAAAAATTTTGTGATATCCTGAACAACTTTGCCAACGACAGTAATTTTTAATCTGGTCAAGAACTTGAGATATTTTTCACATGTATACTAGCACCATAAAGTGAGAAAATTCTGAACTACTGTCCACCAGCCAAAAACCCTTGACCTCCTGAACAACTTTGTCGTAGACAGTAACTTTTTATCTGATCAGGTTCACGAGACATAGCATATGCGAGAAGTGTACATGTATACTAACGCCACGTGGTGAGAAAATACTTAACTACTGTTTACCAGCCAAAAAGTCTTGACCCCCTAAACAACTTTGCCGAAGACAGCAACTTTCTAGCTGATCAAGATCTCGAGATATTGAATATGCGAGAAAGGCACGTATATACTAGTGCCGCATAGTGAGAAAATTCTGAACTATTGTCACTCAACAAAAAGATCTTGACTTCCTGAAAAACTTTGCCGAATACATTTACTTTTTATCTGGTCAGGATCTAGGGATATTTTATATGCAAGAGTTTCACATGTATAGTCCACCTACGAAAAAGCCGTGACCTCCTGGACAACTATGCCGAAAACAGTATCTTTCTATCTGGTTGGGAACTCGAGATATTTTATTTGAAAATTTCACGTGTATACTAGCGTCGCGTAGTGAGCAAATTATGAACTATTGAGCATCAAGCAATAGGCTTTGACCTCCTGAAAACTTTGTAAAAGACAGTAACTTTCTATCTGGTCAGGATCTCGAGATATATCACATGCGAGAATTTTACATGTATACTAGCGCTACGTAGTGAGAAAATTCTGAATTACTGTTCGCCAGCGCCAAGGCTATGATCTCCTGAACAATTTTGTTGGAGGCAGTAACTTTCTATCTGGCCAGGATCTTGATATATTCCATGTTGTAATCAATTAAGTCAAATCCCACGTAGGATGGTCACAGTTTACGCGGTTCCCCTTTACATTTTCCCTATTATCCGTATTTTTTAGGTGTTTACTGTAATCAAAGTTTAGCTTGTTTAGATCAAAACAAGTTTTTTGAGGAATACTCGTTGGTTTCAAATCGATTGGTAACTCAGCAACAAAATGACAATGGAAAACTCATGTGTGTTGTACAAAGTACAACAGCGCGAGTAACGGAGGGTTAAGTTTCCTGCCATAATTCTGTTTTAAATTTGTCTATGAGACAAAATGCATAATATGATGCGAAGGACCTCTACTTTTCAATTGACATTAATTCTTTTATTTGTCATTGAATTGTCTAGGTCAAAATTAAAGTAGCTCACTTACTTGGGATTACATTTGAAATGCAGTAAAAAGCCAAATTACTGAAAGAATGCTTTGTGCAAAAACAAGCTAACAAAAAAAAACTGTTCGCTCAGCTGAATATGAAGCCTATCGATTCGATGATTCAGAGCTGACTTTTTGTGCCTACTTGTTATCTAGCAAGATAAACACTATCTTGAATGGGATTTGGAATGAATCGAAACCTTAATCAGTGTTTGGTAGCAAAATATAAATTTATTTCTTAGAACATGTTATCAGTAGGCTCAAACTCCTCGTAATATAATCATTAATGCCTTAGGTGTTACTAGAATGTTGGGCTAGAGGGAGGTACACAGTGGTCGGAGATGACAAAATCATGAATTTAATTGAATTGTTAGTTAAAGTCGCTGAGCTGCGGGTGCAATGAAATAAAAGGGATATCGACTAACTGCTTCTCTAACTAGGATTTTAAATGGTTGATTTCATATATTTTAAACAAACAAAAATTGCAATCGAATAAAACCAATAAAAAGTAATGTTTATTTCTTGATTAATAAACACAATTAGCAGGTACATCAGGGCAGAGTAGGATCGCACTATTTAACTCGTAAGTTTTCAAGAAGCATAGGTACTAAAGTGATGCAAAATTTTAAATTTTCGCTCCACAATACTTAAACGATTCCAAATCGGATCCTGACTAACCTCCCAAAATTTGAACCCATTTGGTGAGAAACTGAGATGGCACAAACCATTTGAAGTTTGTATGGGAATTACTATGGTAAGACCAAGATTTTTGTTCATGTCTATCTAATAATTCACCATATCGGTCTGCTTGAAAAATTTTCAATTGTGCTTGTAGGAACTTTGCTAAAAACCACTTTTTGATTAAATGCAAGAATCGAAAGTTATCAATGGTTCAATGCGCTAATGTCTTATGATCATGCTCAATCAACTGCTCAGCAGGCAACATTGGTGTTTCTGGGGCGTTGAATAGGACACAAAAATCATGGCTACTATGTCACACTGCAAAATACAGTGTTGCCTACAGAGCAGCGGCTTGATCATGTCATAAGTTTACCAATCTCTTAAATAATAAATAACTTTTTCCTGTCTCGTTTTACATAGAAACAATTTTCTGCAAAGTTGTAGCTGAGAAAATTTTCTATAATAATGGCTATCGAACTGTTTCGCAGCTCAATATGGAAAAAGACTAGAAGGCAATGAACAAAAAGTTGAGATTTTCCATAGTAATTTACATGTAAACTTCAAGTGGCTTGTGCGAAGTCTGTTTCTAACCAAATGAGTTGTAACTTTGGGAGGCTAATCAGGACCCGATTTGAAACCATTTAAGCACTGTGGAGCGAAAAAGTCAAATTTTGCATCAGTCTAATAGGTACCTAACGTACACTGTATTCATAATCTGCTCTAAATTGGATTTGACGGCTGCAGAACCCGGACTGTTCTCGAACACCGGATTATCCATCGAGTACGCAGGATTAGTCGTTCCTCCGTCATTCGATGTCGAAGATTTCGATCGTTTGATGTTAGCCACTCACTTCATCAAACTAGCTGCTGACGAATATTTCTTTTACATGACAGGCTACTCAGCAGCTTGAGATGGATTGGCTCCGGCCGCGGCAGCACTGTTTCTATCTGAAGCGATTTCCTTCCACACGGATTCGCTGTTTGCTCCACCGCTTTCGTTACCTTTTTGCACGTTAACCGAGAATGCTCCGGACTTTTGCTGCCGGCAGTCCCCCTTGGTAGCGTTCTGTGACGTAGTAGATTGTAGGAAACTTTGAGAAAAGCTGTTGAAAATTGTGCTTTTAGTGGTGCCAAGCAGGCTTACATCCTTTTTTGAGCTCCAATTCGTCCGGTTTCTGTCGGGTAGAGAGCTGCGTAAGTGGCAGGTAGTTGGGGATGTGGATAGTAATCTAACATCATTGATAGCGTTCGAGCTCTGATAGTTAGCATATCGGATCGATTGGACTGTGGTAGATGGTCGGAAGAAGATCTCGCCGCCGTGATTGGTGTATGTGTTGATAGCTGTTATTGTCTCTTCACGTTGGAAGTGTTGAGAATCTCGGCGGAATGGCTGGAAGGGAAATCGTTAGTTCTAGTTCCGTTCGAATAACGCAATTCGCAATACTTATTAAGTTTCCCACAGGATGGTTTGTTAAGAAGGGTCCGTCAATCTCACTGAAACTGAAACTTTTGATGACCATGGTTTCACTAACCTATTTCGCACTATTTCTGCTATGCTCTTCTATCATCCAGAACAACAAACGTATAAATGAATATGTTTGCCGTCGAGTTATTAACGAAACAGAATCAATCAAAATCACTTGCATCCCTGCTTCCAAGTTTGGTTATAAGATTACAACTTTGTGTGGTCGTTGGGGCGTGTGGTTCTGAATATGGCGATGAGTGTGCAAAATGTGTCGCAATTGCATCCGCCTTATTCGCACACGCCCGAAGATCGGAGGTGAATGCCACTTCGACTTGTTTCGTCTGCTAACGACTCTCTGATGACAGTGTGGGGGAAGCAGCAATGCTACATCGACATGTTTCGTCTATAAACGAGTCTCTGATGCATTTACGTAATTGGTGGATTTGTTGGTTATTTTGACGCTTTTGGACAATGCTTGACATTTACTACTTTTCAATAGTTTCTTGTTGAAAATCAACGGTCGAAAACAGTCAGATCCGTAGAAATATTTCTGATCGATTGGTTATATTATTATTGAAATTGGTCCTGGGGCAGCTGAGTTATTAACGCTCAACATCTTTCATTATTTCGTTACATGTTCCATTTTCGGTTTTCACCAAGTTTTCCTCATTTATAAATTACAGACGTCCTACGTGAAAAAAAGTGAAGACAAAAAATCTAGTCTAGTCTAAGAATTTAAAAAAAAATCAAGGGCCCAAAATCATATTTTTTCACGCGGTGATTTATAAGTGTAGTTCTCGATAATGATGACTGGATTAAGGAAAACTTACTGTACATTTTTCAAAAGATTTGAATGGAAAATTGGAATAGTTTTTATTTCAGCAGATTTGTAGAGTTATTTCCTATCGATTGGTGTATTTTGATTTCAATTTCATCTATCAGCAATTCTGAAATTTCATTATTATCTTATTTATATATCTCTTCAGTTTTAACTTTAATGTTTTCCCTATCTTCAGCCAAAAATTCATATTGAATGCTAGTCTGATGGAATGATTATGTTCTTTCGTAAAAATTCGGCCGTAATAACAGATCCTATTCACTCTAACTCTTCTGTTAATAGTTTTACCGTCGAGCAATTTGTTAGCGTTAAATTTTGATTTTTCCTTTCTCTTACATTCACTGTCTATATAACGTAAAATAAGTTTGTCATAATTAGCTAGAGAAATCCTACTGTTTTTTTTGTAAGAACGGCTACTTTAGTGCCATAGATAAGTGCAGGAGCTTATACTGTTTATATATAGTCTTCCTCAACTCCCAACTCGGATGAAAGTGTTTACAAAAATCTACTATGTACCATTCTGCTAGTTTTCAAGGCATTCCTACACCTGTCTCTATTGGTTAATTTTCTTTTCAATTCTGCTGCTAGGTATTTAATGCGGTCCGTAAGCCTAAATGTTTTTTTTTTCCATTTAATGTAACCTGTTCTTGGGGAATTTTGCTTTATTGTTGGGATATCTAAACGTAATCTGGCGTTTATCCTAATTTATACTCAAGCCTACTTTCTGCAACTCCTTTGTGATGATTTTCAATACTGCCTCCATCTTTCTTAATTCCCAGCAATAATCAATAAGTAATCAGCAAACGCCAAAATCAAAGGAAGTACTAAACAGCCAAAGTCTAAAAGTTTTAATTCAGGAATTTCTTTCGAAACATTGGTCAAACCTTCCTGCGTCGAATAATGCCTTGTTTAATGCCTTTACCACGTTTAACTTCCTCAGAGTATTGAAATTCCCAAAATACCCTAGTAATTTCGTCTTCAACGCACATCAGAATTCTGTCCACTATTCTTGAGGGAGCATCTAAGCTTTGAAGAATATCCTTAACTGTATCGAAAGTTTTTCTTATATCTAGTGCTAAGACTATCAGGTCGTTACCGTTATTCCAATGCTCTTCTTGTGATCATCAACTGATCTTTTCGTTGTGAAAGCAGCTTGATGCTGGCTCACTCGCAAATTTCATGAACTGCTTAGCAATCTATTTTGCATAAATTTGATATGCAACATTACACAACGATATGCTTCTGAAATGATCTGCCTCCGTTGCTCCTGCCTTATTTGGTATAGGGATTTGTGTTGTCCTGTACCATTCTTCTGGCATCTTATTCTCTATGTAGATCTTCGTCCGTGCCTTTCATAAACTCCATAAAAACTCGATCTGATCCTGCTGATTTTCCGTTGCATGAAAACTGAATGGTCAGTGCTGGTCAGTGGATTTGGGAGTGGTACTTGATCATGTTCTGTGCACAGTTCTATCTCTGGACCTTCGCCTTCCTTTGGTATATTTCCCCATGTTTTTGAAGTGATCTGTGCAACATTTCTCTTTTTCTGCTTCGCATATCCTTTCAAATAGTTATTGTGCTTGTCTTAGTCTCTGACCTACATCAAAATCGTTCAAATTTCTAAAAAAAATCCGTTATTTCCTTCTCCTTGTGTTTCTTAACAGCTTGATTGTATTCCTGCCTACGATTACCTAGCTTGTACTTATAATTCAACATATCAAACTTTTCAACAACAACAAAGCTCTTGAAGCTGCCTTCTTCATCCTATAAGCTAAGTCTTCGTTACTCTCTTCTACTGTTTTCATATTAGTATCAGTTTTTGATGCTATCTTTCACAGCTCATCTGGATATTTTTTTCTTAATTTCCAGTATCTTTAATAACTCTCTGTTGATTTTTGTAGTCTTGTGATCTTTAAGGGAATTTTTTCATTTATTTTTGTCTAGTATAAGCCCTGCAATGATCATTTTATGATCAGGTTTAATGTGAGTCCAAACTCCTTTAATAAACCTTATTTTGAATGTCGTTACTTGTGGGCCTTTTGACTTTCTTTTTTGGCGCCCCTCCACGTTATGTTAGTGTTGAAGCCTATCTTAGAAGAAACATTCTTCAGATTTGCCATGTGCAAGAACATTTTTTTTTTTTTCTATCCGGATAATTTTAACTCGAATGTTCCGAATGTTATCCGTTTTAAATATCATCCGGATAGGGATAGGGATACCATTCAATGGATAATGGATAATGGATAGAGATAAATTTGATGCCTGATCAGGCGTCCAAAATCAGTTTCGTGGATTGACCACTCTTCCAGAAGACCGTTCCGTTGTCTCCATGATCCATATTTAGGAACCATGACTATATTCTGGCTAATTATGAACATTCATGCTCACTAATCAAACTTATAGATCTTAAACCATTTGCAAAACCTATAAACACTCCTTTAAAAAAAAAACGTGAAATGACTCTTTTTCACTAGGAATTCTAGGGAACCACATTTTTTGGGATTCATCAAGAAATGGCTAAGCTATGTCAATGCACACTTGCGGCTTTCGAAGGCATCGTGTTCGGAGTGTTTAACGCATAAGTTACTCGGAATTTGATGAACTATTAAGCTCGTATACTTATAACAATGTGAAAATGAGTGCATTCACTAGACCTCTGCATCCGACCTAAGCCCATGAATAACCCAGTTTGGCCTTCCCCAGTCGCTTGAGCTAGAATTTATGGATTTTCTTTCGGAAAAAAACGAAATCTTTTCTGATTGTAATGTTTATTTAATCATCTTCCCTCCTGTACATTGTTGACACCAAGTTCTGATTTTTTGATCTTGGATGCTCGCGATCATAATTCTACCTTCATATGCTGCCTGCCACAAAAACCCAGCCGATCTTATGTTAGCTTAAAAATTCAGACATTACCAATTCTGAGGGTATTAACTGTCCGGAGGCATCGCAGCACTATACCATTAAAAAGCAAGCAATAATAAATTGATAAACAACCGTTTTGGTGGTTAATAATAATAAAAATTGACTTCTTTGTTTTCATTGCTCACTTTTTATTTATTTTGTTGTGCTCATTTTTAGTTTTTCATTGCTACTTCTAGAGTTTTAATTGGAAACTCATCAACTTTTCATGGATCTTTCAAGGTTTTTTATTGCTCAAACATATATTTTCTATTTTTTTTTAATTATCTGTTGCAACTTTTCATTTAACTGTTGCTTATTTTCGCAGTTTTACCGATGAAACATTTATTTTCTATTGCTACTTTCCACTTGTCTATTTATCATTTTCAAAGTTAATTGCTCCTGACCAAGGTTTTCTGGTAGTTATGAACATTTTATGTGCAAGGTGTGCATTCTTTAGGTGTCGTTTATATTTATGCCTTGCTTATTCCAAATCCCAGTTCTTCAAATATTGTCTACGCCCTTGATCATAAAATTTATCTGAATACCCAAATTTAGGAAAGTATCCTAGCTTGTGATCTTAAAATCAGAATTTATCAGGATTAAGATATATTTGAAAAACTGTAAAATCTTCACAAAATTAAAATTCAAGATCATTTTATGTATTCAATATCCATTCTCAGATAAAGATCCTGAAAATTTCACAAAGTTACATTTCAAAGAAAAACTCATTTCAATCTTTCACTTTTAAAAATTTTGCCTTATGACTACATGAACGTAAAAATGTATATCTTCATTAGGGTGCCAATGAATGTATGGGAAAAATATGACCCTTGTGCAAAATGTTTAGACCTGTGCGATATTTGAGCTCAATCGGACGTGATTTTAGGTGGCGAGAAATCTTTATTTTCTTTTGCTATTCAGCCTGAAACTGTTTGTAATGATGAATGATATTTTAATATAGGTTTAAAAATTTAGATTGATCCAGAGGCACTCGGTGAAATAAACGAAGCGCTTTTGTACGTGGGTATAATATAGTTTTATCTGATGAATCATCACCGGGTCACATAAATAACGCTTTGAACAATATGGGTGAGTAGCGATAGCATGAATTTCAAAGGTATTGCAAAACCTTAAGGTGCTAGTGATGCACGGAACCAGTGTTGAGAAAATTTCAACAAATTGTGGATATATTGAGTTTCATGATTATTGCTTTACACCCGAACGCAACCGAAACTTCGATAACGACTGGCAGCAGCCACTTCGTGTCTGCCGTCGGTGAAGAGTAAAAAGAGATAGTAAACTATACTTTCTCTTTCTAAGAAAACGATGTGCAACGGCATCATTTTTGTGTCGAGTCAACTCTCAGCTTGATTTTTTGCACGTTGTGAATAGTCTCACAATATCAAAGGAGCTTGTGAAATCAATACCAAGCATAATATTTTGTTCCAATATCACGCGTGATGTTGAGAGCGTATGAGAGCGGAAAAATATCATTTGATTGATGAATTTGCCAACACTGCACGGAACTAATCAATTTGGTGCGTTCCTATAATACTGATTAACGAATCAGGGGTGTTAATCAATAATGAACTGACTTTCGAAACTCGTTCTCTTCCACAACCCAACCATTTTCCTCTTCATCCGTTGTAGCGAAGTATTTCAGAATCTACTTACCTGGCGGCAGCTTTTCATACAGTGTTTTTAAATTTTAATTTAATGAAAATATTGGATTAGTTTCAAATTGGATATTTCTGTGCAGTTATTCCAATTAAAACAGAGCAAGGGTAGTGAATGGATTTCACTTTTTGAAAGACATGCTTGTTGTTGGCTGGTTGGGAGTGGATTTTGTCTGCTCCAAAACGCGTCTACCGAGAGACCAAAGGGAGATCTTCATAGATACCTTGCGTATTATTCTTGTTGGCGAGCTGAGCTGAATGTGGGTGTTGATTATGCTCTGCTAAGAGCTTTCAAGATACCTCGCGAATGCTTCTCGTTGACAGGCTGAGAGTACGATAGTACGTGTGGATCCTACTTCTGCGGTAGTTTAGTCAGGCTCTGAAGGCCTCTAAAGGTCGATTTTCTTGGATAGGTTCGTGACTATTGTTGTTTGTTCGTTGGTTATTTTGAAAAAGTGAAATATGAGTTTGATAAATTTGTTTTTTTTTTTATTTCACTGTATTTAAACGAAATTCCAAGACACACAGTGGAGAGGTGTTCTTTATTCTTCATCCTGATAAAGTTCAACCATTTCTAGATGCCCATTTTTACTTGCATAGTGGAGAGGTGTTTAATTATTTTCATCTTGATGATCAACGATGGCAGATCGAGCGAGGAGAAGTTTAACAATATTCAGATGCCCATCTTCACTTGCATAGTGGAGAGGTGTTTTATTATATTCATCCTGATGATCCACTTTGGCAGATTTATTGATGATAAGTTTAGCAATTTCTAGATGCTGCATTATAATTGCATAGTGGAGAGGTGTTCTTTTTCTTTCATCCTGATGATCCACGGTGGCAGATCGATCGAGGAGGAGTTTAACAATATCTAAATGCCCACTTTCACTTGCATAGTATAGAGGTGTTCTTTTTCCTACATCCTGATGATCCACGGTGGCAGATCGATCGAGGAGGAGTTTAACAATATCTAAATGCCCACTTTCACTTGCATAGTGGAGAGGTGTTCTTTTTCCTTCATCCTGATGATCCACGGTGGCAGATCGATCGAGGAGGAGTTTAACAATATCTAAATGCCCACTTTCACTTGCATAGTGGAGAGGTGTTTGTTTATTTTCGTCCTGATGATCCACGTTGGCAGATTTATTGATGATAAGTTTAGCAATTTCTAGATGCTGCGTTATAATTGCATACTGGAGAGGTGATATTTTGTCATTATCCTGAAGATCTACGTTGGCAGATCGATCGAGGAGGAGTTTAACAATATCTAAATGCCCACTTTCACTTGCATAGTGGAGAGGTGTTCTTTTTCCTTCATCCTGATGATCCACGTTGGCAGATCGATCGAGGAGAAGTTTAACCATTTCTAGATGACCCCTGTCACATGCATAGTGGAGAGGTGTTTTATTATATTCATCCTGAAGATCCACGTTGGCAGATCGATCGAGGAGAAGTTTAAAAATATCTAGATTCCCCACGACACTAGCAATGTGCAGCGAACTTATATTTTTTTCAAACCATGGTGCCATGGCCATCAAATTCGCATCTATGCCATAATCAAGTAGAAATGAAACCATCTCACAATGACCAGCAAGCGTCGCAGTGTGTAATAATGATCCGTGTTCTTTGTATGTTTCAGTTTTGTAATCATACTTTTGTAGTAGCCCCTTTACTACGTTTAAAGCATTTGCTTCACATGCCCAGAATGCAACCTCAGGTTTTGCTTTACAAATATAGCTCAGAACAATCATTTGCTCTGATTGTTTTGAAAACTGTTCTTCAGTTAGCATAAAGAAAAATCTTCGAACTGTTGCATGATCACGAAGTGTTTCGTACAAAATTTCTTTGCATATTTGGATATGATCATATAGATACGTTGCTACGAAAAATTCGGCATAGGATCGGTGTACGAATCTAAGATTGCCTTTGGAAATATTAAATAGAGGAGAGTGCTCTTTTCCGTCTTTGATTCGTTTATGGAGTTGGCTGTAAAGTCTTTCGTGTTTACCCGATGCGATTGTTTCCTTATGTTCATCCGCAAAAATATGGTGCCAAGCAGCTATTTGATGCTCAATATTAAAGTTTTCCCACAAAGCGAGCTCTTCCTCATCACTTAGCACGTCGATAATTTGGTAAGCATCTTGGTTTCTTTTTTTCTTCCATTTGATTTGAAACGAAAATTCTACAAACTTTTTAAACAATGAGACAACACTAAATTTTTCTTTCGGGAAAATATCTGGTGCACGTTTATCTGGAACAGTATTTAAATATTGTTGGAAATCATCAGAATATACTTCCGCTAACAATCGAATTATAAGTGGAATACCAAAGAATTTAGAGTCATAGCTTTTTATGTCCGAGTAGAATTTTTCGAGCAATTGAGTTGAATAAATTTTAAATTCCATTGAATCATCGGAAACTTCCCATGAATTTTTCAAAACCATAATTTGTTCATCGTTTTCAAAGGGAATCAATCTGATTGCCCTTACTTTAAATTCTGTTTCAAGAATATATTTGACATGATATCTACCACTAACAATCACTCGAATATTCTCCTTTGACAATAATTGCCTAATTACGGCGATTGCCTCGTTATGAAAAGTGATCTCATCGAACCCATCAAACATGATTAGAGTTCGATTTGCGTTGCTTTCTAGATTGTTTTTCAAAATTGTCCTGCTTGATTCCGAAAGAACTGATCGCAGAATTTTGAAAACCGCTTCTAAGTTTTCACAGCCTGATTTGAGCGTTTCCTTTAAGTTATTCAAATATATCAAGAATACATCAATATTGGATTTCTTTTGAACTTCGAAGGCAATGTATTGGAGGATAGTTGTTTTTCCCATACCAGGCTCTCCGATGAAGAGAAAAAATTTGTTTTCTGCTTGGTCGTCTATTAATCGTTTGATGAATTGATGGTCGCTAATAATATGATTTTTATAAATTAATTTTCTTTCTATGTACGAGCTTCCAATATATTTACGTTGTGAAAAATGATCACTCAGTTGTCTCGTTATTTCTTCGACACAAGAACGTCCCTCTTTATAAGATAAGTAACTCTTTTCTGGCTGATTCTTTTCGGTATCCTTGTAATATTTAGAATTGATCCAATTTTTAAAACATTCATTAAATTTAAAGAGAGGCAGATTTAATTGTGATTTGCCAAGATCGTCCGGTGGAATCCAATCTCTCATCCATGAGCGAAGATCATTGTCAATCGTTCTTATTAGATCACTTGGTTGGCTTACACAGAAAGTTAGATGCTGAAAGAACTGTCTCACGCTATCTTCAGTTAAATACGTTGGTAGTTGGGAGTTCCTAGATTCACCTTTCATAAATGATTGAATCGCTGGATTTTTTTCTATTAATTTTCCATTAATATTTTTTAGTAGCTCATTATGCAGCCATTCATGGGTGGTATCGATCTTGGAAAGCATTAGTTTTTTACCTGAAACTTCCAGGATCTTCTGCAACGGTGTTTTGTAGTTGATTAGTATTTCCGAAACTTTTCCACTTTTGAAGAGTTCAATGATCGCATCCCTAATGGCATGTAGTTCGGTGTTCATCAACTTCAGTAAATCTTCAATTTTATCCTTTTTTGGTCTGAATCTTTTGTAGCAATCGTCCGATTCAGCAAACTTCATTATTGGGTTCACTTCACTTTGTTCACAGACCTCGATGTCCACCAACTCTCTTAGCTGACTATTGCTATTGTCTAATGATTTATTGGTTAGGATAAAAAATCGCATCTTCAACCCCTTGAACTCATCTTTTTGAATAACGTCTAAATAGGACTGTATGTACTTGATAATAGCAAAATCATAATTTTCCTTACGCGTCTTTGGAAACAAATTGTTGAACGATATTGGTTTTGAACCATCTGAGCTGTCGTTGTGTTTGGCTTGGAACAACCACACTTCCTTCGGTTCTTCGAAAAATATGACCACATCATCGAATTTTCCAGCGTCCTTCATTTCAGAGGCAAGTTTGAATTCAGATTTCCGCAAAGATGCTCGCTGAAACAGCGCAAATGCTAAATCTTCTTCGTATTTGTTGCCATGATTTCCAGTATTGCCACCCCATGCATAGCGGCCACTGTCGACTGTATCCTTGGTGGGCTCCATTATTGTTCCTAAAAAAAAAGCACAATCTATTAGTAACATTTATCATTAGTATTTTTTGTCTATTGATTCAAACAAATCTGAAGGCTGCTCAACTGGAGTTGCTCTTCTAGACATAGGAAAAGCATTCGACAGTGTTTGGCACGAAAAAGTTTATTTTTCCACTCTAGATTAGGAACTTAAAACAATTATTTAACTGACAGAACACATAAGGTAAATTATCAAACTTCCAAATCTGAACGACTGCCTGTCGATATGTTATATTCTTTCGGACCTTCCTGATTTCCCTCAGGGTTGCCTCAATTCTTTGTTTGTCAATGATACAGGCATTTCCGCTAAAGGAAGAAGTCATCGTGTTATTTGCCGCAGACTATAGAAAAATTTCGATATTTTCTTTTCTTATTTACAAAAATGGAAGATTTCTCCCGACGCTTTCGAAACTCAACTTATAATATTCCCACATAAGCTGAGAGCTTCCTTTTTGAAACCTAGTAGTAGTCGCATAGTCACTATGAACGGAGTTCCAATTTCTTGGTCAAGTCAAGTGAAATAGTACTTCAAAAAGGACATCAACCAATATATATAAAATGTTTATATCCTCTCATAAACCAAAAATCCAAAATCTGCCTGAAGAATAAACTTCTAATATTTAAACAGGTTTTTAGTTAGACCAGGAAAAAGCACTTCAAAGGATCCAGAATAAAGCTCTTAAGATGATTTTGAAGTTGCCTTCATGATACAGTACTACCTAGATACCTAGAATTGATTGGCAGTCCTCAATTGCAATAATTATTTTCTTTTACATTAAGATAAGTTTTAGTTTTAGCTTTCAGTTTTAAGATGTCAATTGTTATACTGACATGCAGGTTTAGAAAACCTGTTTATAATACTGAGTAGGAACAATGTAGACACACTTAGCTATAAATCATAACAGTTAAGGCTGGTAAGTTACTGTAGTAGCTGGATCAACTAGATGAAAACCGACGATTAATTTTAGAATGCTTTATTAATCTATGTTTGGCGGCGATGAGGACGATGATGGCGTGACTCTTGGAGTGTGAGAATGAATATAGGGAATAATTCCACAGGTTTGGTGTAGTTTAAGGGAAAAAAGGTGCTCAGCGATCCAATAAAGGAAATCGTTGAAGTTTCTTTCCCCGAAAAATCTAACGGCATCTTCTAGGATTATCAGAGCAACAAACGAACTATAAATAAGATTAGTTTAGATTCGCATTTATGATCAAACAAACCTAGTTTTCTAGATTGCGTTTTCAAAATGTGTCAAAACATAAATAGGGTAAGTGAACGAGTTTTGATCAAAGCCAAATTTCGCGCCAACTCGGCCATTTCACAGTGAGCCAGGAATTCCAATGCATCCAATTGAGTTGACGTCTTCAGTGAAGTTTTCTGGATTAATTAGGAATATAATTTGGTGGATAAAAATAGTTAAAGTTTTGGGCGCAAAGATGGCGCAACTTTTTTTTTTATTTCGTAAGATAGAGGTTTGATTTTTCGGCAAAGTAGTAGAACGTAGAATTTTATGAAAAGTTGCTCAAAACATAAAAGCTGTACATCGTCAAACATCTAACATAGACGAAGTTTTATAAGATTGGCCTGAAATTCACGTTTTAAGTATTATATTTAGAACAATCGTTACTGATCTGGATCTTTACAATATTATAAATAAGTATAAATCAACAAGTCAGGCCTATTATAATCTTTCAAATCATCATAAATTTCATACAACCTTTTCAAAAACAGAAACTGCGCCCTCCGCTACTAATAGTTTTCCGTCATTCAATGCCATTTATCAGGCCCGTAGCCAGCATTTGGTTTCGGGGGGAGCTAATTTTATGACATAAAAACTTCAATGATTTATAAAATGTGCGCCTAACTGAACATCGATTGATACACTGTTTTTTTTTACCTTAACCAAAATCGTTCAAAATCATGTGTCGTCATTTTTTTTTTTTTTTTTTTGTTAATTCGTTTTAATCTTTAATAGAAATTTTTAATGAACCATCAGAATGTAAAATAATAATTTTTCAAAATCTTTAATACGCAGTTATGAGAAAAGTTAAACAAATGTATGAAATTCAAGAAAATATTTGTAGTTTTAATTGTTTTCTGTTGGTAATGATGATCAAGATTTGCATTCTGTTAAGAAAGGCAAAAATTATATTTTTTAAAACATAATTATTTTAAGATTTTAATGGTGTTGAATCGTACAATCACCGGCACCGGATCCTAATTCATGTAAATTTATGAAGGCGGTCAATAACAAACATCCCTCGATGCAGTGGTAGCAATTTGATCCATACGAAACACCGAACAGCGAATATTGTTGCCTTCATCATTCTGTATGTTTTTAAGTTTTTGTTTTAGCATCACTGTATTTTTGTTTTGTTTTTGAATTGATCGTTATTCTGTGATATTTTGTATTGTTCCAGTAAGCTATATAAGTGCAAATATTTAATGCAATTAGATTAAGTTTGAATTTGACTTCCGATCAGGGTGCTGCCTGAAAGAGGTAATAAATAGTGAATGAGAAATGTATGCTTTTACTTCATTTGAATCAGTTGCCGATCTCCAAACTGCTGTCCAAAAATCTGAGCAAGAAATTAAACACAACGTACAGCCATATCCTGGACATTATACCTGGTTATTACAAAAGTAATCTTCTAGCTTTACTCTAAGCAGTTAATTGATATTATAGCCAAGCCCGAAAGTCGCTGGTTTCCCATTAGTTTTAATTCGTTTCAGTGTGGAGAAAGATCTTTCCACACTGGCTGTAGTGACCGGTAGTGTCAACAAAATCTTCAACAAAACATTGATTGTTAAAAAATACGTCGAGACACATTTATCAAGCAGCCCAAATGCCTCAAAATTCTTTTTAATATTTATGGATGTCCGGCACCAGAGCTCGTATTCCACCTTTACCTGCAACCAGCCAGTGATGCAAAATATCATGACACTCACGTGACACTCGTCTTCGCATCAACCGACTATCGCTGACAGATCGTTTTGTCACGCTCTGAGAGTTAGAGCTATGGCAAACAACAATCACCAGTAATGGTCGCTGCTCACAAGCAAAACGTTACACTCGCTGCTGATTATAAAAAGCACAACGAAAACAGTGAAGAATTCTGCAGTACGATGATGAGAAAAAGCAAAGCGACAGAAGAAAATGAAAACAATGCCTACGCATTCCAAGTTCGTTTCGGCAGGTGCGACTGTGTGAGTTACAAACAAAGCAGGCAACATGAAACGGAAGCTGTTGGGCTCACTCACCAACACACTCAAATAAGCAAGCAAAGCAGCAACTGCTCCAAAACGAGCACAGATGAGTGTCGTGATTGTCGGGAATGACCAGATCGGTGATGGATCACAACAGAAGACGACATTCACCAGTTGCTTTTTACTTCTTTCGTCAACTTGATGGATGGTCAGCTTCGACGAGCACATTGATAGGAATGTACAAAGCGTTACTACCATCAACTGTTTGGCGATCGTGATTATGATAGGTCGCAACTCTGGCAACCACGCTGGTGAAATCACAGAGATAACAGTTAAGTTTGTCAAGTTGGGATGACTCTCCAATATCTGTAAAACCAGGCAAAAATATTTGGAACACCGGAAGGATGTCATCATTTTTTGTGAAACGTCCCATCATGTTTTGGATCAATGCATCGAGCCATGGAATGAAAACTGCTCTTCGATAGTATTCCTCTGGTGTTTCTACTGATTGATTTGCACCTATTGTTTGCTTGGATGCACGTGGATGTAGTCGTAACTGCGCATTCGAAAACAGACATATGCAGCTTTGAGGTTGCATTAAAAATTTCAGCAAATTTTGCTTCAGCGTCAGCTCGTTTCTCCTTAAAAACCTGTATTATACTGTTCGCATGATTAAGAGCCGATATAAGGTCCACATATTTAGATTGTAATCCTATTGAAAGTGGTTGTGTTGAAAGATCACATTGATGTAATAAATATATTAGATGTTTGTATCCTTTTATAAACAGAAAATGCATACTTTGCCTGAAGAATAAACTTCTAATACTTAAATAAGTTTTTAGACCGGTCCTGCTTTATACTGTGCCAATATGGTCTAGATCTTGCACTACCAGGAAAAAAGAACTTCAAAGGATTAAGAACAAAGTTCTCAAGATGATTTTGAAATTGCCTCCCTGGTACAGTACTACCGAAGTACATAGAATTTTGAATGTTGAGACTTAAGAACAAATCTAGATAGAGCTGGAATTAGGGCGTAACAGCTTTTGTAAACAATGAATTCTCTCGTCGATTTCTAGCAACTCAAGGCACCCCTACACAAATCAACTTATCCATCGGGTAGGGGAAGTCTTCCCCTATTCGATGGTAATGTTGATTTGCCAGGAAAAGCCATGTCTTTCGAAAAATCATCGAGAGAAGCCATTGTTTACAAAAGCTGTTATGCCCTAATTCCAGCTCTATCTAGAAAGGTCCAACAAAATAATTAATCATTTTAGGGAAAAATCGTTGCAATCTTCAATTGCAACGATTAATTAGCTTTATACATAGATAAGATATAGTTTTAGTTTTTAGTTTTGATGTGAATTGTTATACTGACATGCAGGTTTAGAAGACCTGTTTAAAATACTGAATTTCTAAGGCAGGAACAATGTAAAATCAATTAGATTTATATCATAAAAATTACAGCAGATAAGTTACTAGGTGGCTTGAGCACCTGTACAGTACAGGTAACAGATATCTTTTATCTTGGGTCAGATTTTTTTTTCACATGATTATAATAATTTGGGGGGGGGGGGGGGGGGCTTCAGCCCCATAGCCCCCCCCCCCCCCCCTATGGCTACGTGCCTGCCATTTATAAATCTTAATCGTAATTGAAATGTAGCTGAAATATAATAAATCAGTTTCAAATCGACTTTCATCTAAACGACAATTCAATTATCAATGTGATAGATTACTGACGGTCCATATTCGAGATTTTTCCATCACGCTGATCGAA